CCCATCAAGTACCCCATCTGCTCAGAGATTTAGTGGCAGCAGACCCATTCCTAGAGTCCCATTCCTATCATCCTTGAAGATTGAAATCTGAGGATCATGGTTCAAAACCAACCCAGTAAGGAAAGCTCATGAGACTCATCTCTCCAATTAACCACCAAAAAAAGCTGGGAATGAAGCTGTGGCTCAACTGGTAGGTGCCAACCTTGAGCAAGAAAGCTACAGGGGGCTGGGAAGGTGGCTCATTGGTAGAGCGCTTACCTTGCATGCATGAGGCCCTGGGTTCGAATCCTCAGCACCACATAAACAAAAAGAAAAAAGCTGGAAGTGGCACTGTGGCTCAAGTGGTAGAGCGCTAGCCTTGAGCTGAAGAGCTGAGGGACAGCGCCCAGGCTCTGAGTTCAGGCCCCACAACCAGACCCCCCCCCCAAAAAAAGAAAAAAAAGAAAGCTACAAAAGCTAAGGGATAGTGGCTAGGCCCTGAGTACAAGCCCCAGTACTGGTGTGTGTGTGTGTGTGTATGTGTGTGTATGTGTGCACCAACACACACACACACACACACATTTTGAGATGAAGCAGCTGCCTGCCCATCCCTGAGTAGCCATTCACAGCCATTTCCATCCTAAAAGTATGCACAAGTACAAGTTAGAAGAGACAGAGATCTCAGAAGACCAGCTCAGCAGCAAGTGGAAGAAGGAAGGGTGGAATGATGGGAAAGGGAAGGGAGGAATGAATGAATGAAAAGGTGGACAAATGAATAAACAGCAAAAGAACACATGTCTTGAAACCAGGAAGAAGGGGACAGAAGTCCTCTCTGCCCAGCTTTGCCTGAGCAGAATGGGCCAGGGTCTGCCACACTCTTTTGTTACAGAACCCACCCTTGGGTTTACAAACCACCTCAAGTCTTCACCGTAGCCTGTAAAGCTGATATTCTGGGAAGTAGACCAAGTTGGTTAGCAGAATGTTTCTGGGGACCCAGTGAGAATTGGGGGTCCAGAAGGAGCTTTCTGCCGTGTTTCACTCTAGTGAGAGATATTTTTTGTTTTGTTTTGTTTTTTGTGGGTCGTGGGGCTTGAACTCTGGGCTTGGGTGCTGTCCCTCAGCTCTTCAGCTCAAGGCGAGCGCTCTACCACTTGAGCCAGAGTGCCAATTCCTAGTGAGAGATTTTTCACAGGCTGGGTTTCCTGGAAGAAGGTGAGGAAATGGCAGCTATGGCCTGCCAAACAGCAGTCACAGGTCCAGGCCCTGTGACATGGGGGAAAGTCCATGAAGGAAGTGGCATTAGCAGGGGGATTGAAGGGAAATGGAACCTGGGCAGTACTGTGTGCACCCAGCAGGCCAGCACCCATACACAGATCCCCTGAACCCCCTGGGAAAAGCCCCCAGCCTTGGCCAACTAACCTTGCTGACAGATCCATTACAGGTCATCAGAGTTAGGCTGGCCAGAACAGGGATATGGCTACAGAGCCCTTTTAGAGTTTCTATGTCCAACCTTGGTTGTACAAGTGGATCTCTTGAGCCCTCGATCTAGGGATGGACTCAAAACACTGCCCGTGCAACATTGCCATTGCCCCCATGGGGTTTCCGTATCTGCTCTGTGGACTTACCTGCCACCCATCCTGTGCAAGGTCCTGGGGCTGCCTCCTTGCTGATGATGCTAGAGCTCAAATCCACACGGCCCTTCTTCCATGAGCCAGCATATACCCTCCTGTGCCTTTCCCCACACACTCGCCACAGGCACACAGTCTCCAAGAGAAGCCAGCAGCCAAGGGCCACCAGTTCCCCCCCCCCCCCAACTCTTACCGTCCAATGTCCGAGCAGACTTTGGAGTCAGCAGCTACAGCGGCATGGGCAAAGGCTTGGGGGCCACAGGAAGGAGAATGGTGAGAGAGAACCACAGCCAGCACAACAATGGCCAGCCCCAGCCCCAGCCCCAGCAAGACCAGGCTGACGATGGCCCTGTGGCACTGAGCCATGGCTGCTGGCCTGGGAGGAGAAGGGGAGGCAGGTAGGCAGGTAGGCCAGAGGTTGGACAGACAGACAGGCAGATAAATGGACAAGAAGCTGCACAGGTAGACTCACTGATGAGTGAACAGATGGAAAAATCGATGGAGGCAGAAACAGATAGATTGACATCTAAGCCAGACAGCTGGACAGAGAGGAAGGTTCGATGGACATTAGTGCAGAGATGGACTTAAAAGAAAGGAGGTCAGACAGACAGATGGATTGACAGACAAACAGCAGGCAGACAAGCAGATGGATTTATAGACAGACAGATGGATATCAGCAGCCCCTGCCCTCCTCAAGTGCATGCTGCAAAGAGATCTGCCCACAAGCTTGAACTTCTAGTTTTTAGCCCCAGCCTGGTGGGGCAGCAGGCCAGGCAAGGCGTCTATTGGGGGAAGTTTTTTTTCCTTGCAATGTGGCTGGGGTTAACTCTTTCACTACCAGTTGGTCCTCTGGCCCTCCTGTCCACCCCATGGCACCAGGGGCAAGGGGCTTGCATGTAAGGCTCCCAAGGACCCTTGTACCATTGCCCTGGTTCCCAGAAACACAGAGAAGGCTAAATTGGGAGTGACCCACCCTTTCCTGGATCAGGCCCTGAGAGCCAAAACCCCCTCCCATCCCAGGGCGGAACTCCACTCTCAGATGAGCAGCAGCTCAGCCTTGTCATTCATATGGCCCAGAAGAGAAGCTGAAGGAGGATCCAAGGTAGAGTCCTGTAGCTTATCTCAGCCACAACCTGGTTCAGAGCCCAGCATGCTGCCGCTGCCCTTAGAGGGGGCAGGATGCAGACAGGCCACGTGTCTAATCGGTGGCATCCAGTGCCACTGGACCATCCTACCCCCTGAGACCTGCTGACTTGAAGATACACTCTTGAACTTCTTGGGGAGCAATGCTACCCTATTTGGGTTCCCAAGCCTCCTCTCCTCACTCAGGCTCTCCCTGCTGGTTCCCTGTGACCATCAGTCTCAGGGTTATTCCTGCACTGGCCCCATGTCTCCTCCCTGGGGACGCTGCCTTGTGTATTGCTGGAGCGAGCAAGCTTGATGAGATGTAGGGCCCAAGGACAATAGCTTAGAAACAGTTGCCACAGCCCTACACTGCCTTCCTTTCTACCACAGCACTGACCTTTGCAGGCCATACATGGAGTCATAGCCCACCTCCTGGGTTAGCCAAGAAATGAGACCCAGAGCTAGAGAGTGTCTGCCCAGATTACACTGGGCCCTCCTTGCCAGATTCCCTGGTCAGTCTGAGTCAGAGACTGTTTCCCATAAGCCTGTTGTCATAGTTGTCTTAAGTAGGCTGGTGCTGTCCCCCAGGCTGCAGTGGCGTTGGCCAATCAGGAATGAAAGTGCATCCCACCCGCTCACCACAGTCCTCAGAGGACAAAAACAGCCAGGGCTAGGGGGTGGGGACATCTCTGTAGTTATTCTGATCAGGCAGAGGCCAGGGTACAGAGACAGTATGGGCAAAGGCCCTGGGGGAAAGATTTGTGTCATGCTGGGATTTCTGCCAGAGGCTAGGCTGGGTGATTCAGCTCAGAAGATCCTGAATGTCCTAATCTAGGAAGTGACAGAGTTGAAGATGGGATGAAAAGAGAGATATTCAGCTCCCCCATCCCTGAACTTGTCTGGGACTAAGCCCCATGAGGCCTGGGGAACCTGGATTCATCCACCAGCATGTTGGAGCAGTGAGTCCTTTTTCCCATCTTCCGCTCTCTCATAGCTGTGAGATCTAAAACAGATCTCAAATGGGGCCATGGCCTTTCCTTTTATTTTTTACTTTTTTATTTTTATGTTTTTTTGGGTCCGGTCATGGGGCCTGAACTCTGGGCCTGGGTGCTGTCCCTCAGCTCTTCAGCTCAAGGCTAGCTCTCTACCACTTGAGCCACAGCACCACTTCTGGCTTTTTTCTTTTTACTTATGTGGTGCTGAGGAATTGAACCCAGGGCCTCAGGCATGCAAGGTAAGCACTCTACCACTTTCCTTTTAGACTAAAGATTCAGGAGTGACTGCCACACCCCACTACCCAGCCTCTGTCTCTTTCCCAGAGAACCCAGTAGGCTTTAGTGTTAGACCCTGGATGAAGCCTGAAGACCCAACTCCCATTTCCTGTTGGAAAGAAATCAGGTTTCCCAGCTTGCCAACCCCTTCCACCAGCCTGTGTTCCTTAGGGCCCTCTACTTGTCACTTGCCAGAGGTCAGTCAAACTGTGACCTCATCCCAAACCTCCACCAATCACCACCAGCCTCAGGGATTACAGTGTTGGGAAAGGGTTATTAGATTAGAGAGGAAGGTTGTCACACACCCCCTCCCCCCCCCCCCCCCCCAGATAAGGGGCCTCAGTGTTTTTCTAGACCCACCCCTCTGGGCTCTTTCTCCGTAGGAGAGCTGCAGATCTTCTCCAGTTTACTAGCTTGCTGTTGGGGTAATTGGACTCCTCCCCTTAGGGCTGCTGAAAGCCTGGCTTCACATTGAGTTTGTGTTCGGCGGCTCACATTGAGTTTGTGTTCGGCGGCGAGTGATCCCTGGGCGTGTCTCTTACCAAGAAGCTTTGCTTCAGCCTCTCGCCCAATCTTCACTCCTCAGATTTCAGTTTCACCCTTACTTCTAGGGCAGGGGGGAGCTCAGAAACTAGTTATCCTAAGGAGGTTCTGCTAGTGGCCATCTTCCCCAGCAATACCGGGGCTGGGGCTCCCCCTGGTGGGAGATACTCAGAAGTGCTATCCAGATCAAATGTCTGGTCCTGGAGCTCATAGTGAGGAAGGATAGAGCTTAATAATGGCCTGCCTGTCTCATCCTCCACCCTTCAACTTACCCACATACTTTGCTCTCCCCCCCCAGTCTCATCCTCCACCCTTCAACTTACCCACATACTTTGCTCTCCCCCTACTAAAATGTTAAGGATAACTCCAGCACTCACAGTGCAAAGATCTCTAGTTTCCAGTTTTCCATTCTTCCCCAACCAGAGAATTCCATTTCATACACAAGACACTCAGGCCCAAGGAGTGGGGAGCCTGCCACTCAGGCTTCCCAGAGCCCAGCACTGCAGTCTCCATTTATTTTATGTTGTTCTGCCACTCTCAGAAAGAGCATGTCCTCCAAAGTCCCTGTCGCGATTCTTGTCCCTAGGTTTCTGATCAGTCTTGTTCATCCAAGCATTCAATAGCCAGCTGGCTCTCCACCTTTCCTGGAATCTGAGGCGGCTGCCCAGCCACTAGCTGTTCGGACAATGGCCTGGACCACAGCGATAAAGGTAGAAGTGACCTCGATATGGTGGTGCCGGGCCTTCAGGGCTTCAACCACAGCCTAGGGAAGGAGACAGGGGAAAAGGAGGCCTCAGCAGGGCCATAGAGATGGTCTGAACCACTCTGTGGATTAGAGGCCTTACAAAGCCAGATGGTTTCTAGGTACCTGTAATTCTAGTTACTTGGGGGACTGAGATGTGATGGAGGTTTGAAGCAAGTCTGGGTAGAAAGTCTGTGGAACTAGCCGGGCGCTGGTGGCTCACGCCTGTCATCCTAGCTACTCAGGAGGCTGAGATCTGAGGATCGCGGTTCAAAGCCAGCCCGGGCAGGAGAGACTGTGAGACTCCTATCTCCAATAAACGAGCAGAAAACCGGAAGTGGCTCAAGTGGTAGAGTGCTCACCTTGAGCTGAAGAGCTGAGGGACAGCACCCAGGCCCAGAGTTCAAGCCCCACGGCCGACAAAAAAAGAAAGTCTGTGGAACTTACCTCCAATTAACCACCCAAAAGCTGGAAGTGGAGCTGTGGCTCAAGTGGTAGAGTGCCAGCCTTGAGCAAATAGACTAAAGGACAGCACCTAGTTTCTGAGCTCAAGCCCCAGTGCACGCGCGCACACACACACACACACACACACACACACACACACACAAAGCCAGATGTGCTTGGTGGGTGGAAAGAGCAAAGTGGGAGTACTCAGGTTTATGAGTCCATAAGGGGCTCCATTATGTCCATCAGAAATAACCCTCCAGCACAGAAGGCCTTAAAAGCCCACACCATGTCTCAGTTTCCCCACCGCACAGCCTACCTGATCAATGTGTTTTTCCACAGTTGTGGTGTTGGGCAAAAGCTGATTGTGCAGCCGGGGCTCCTCCACTGCCCGCTTCACATCATAGCCGAACCACAGGTTGTAAATGATAGCCTGGGAGTAGGAAATGGTGAGGGACTCCGTGTGGCCCAGGGGCAGGGGGAGGGAGGACAGGTAGGGGACACATACCAGTGCAGTGGATGTGGTGATCTGTGTACCCCCAGAGGCTCCCACCACCATCTGGACTTTCCCATCCGGACCCACAATAATGGATGGACACATGGATGATAATGGCTGCTTCCCTATGGTCCATAGAGTGAACAGAGATGCCAGTCAGCTCCTTGCTCAGGATGCCAGCCCCTGCCAACACAAACTCCCCGGGACCCTTATCCTGCACCTGGTCTGATGAAATTGGCTGGTGATGGGAACACTCCAAATTGATTCATGAAGTTAGGCGAGCTAAAGTCATCCATCTCATCATTGAACAGGATGCCACTGACCCGGGAAAGGATCCTAGAGCCGAAGCTGCAAGGGGAAGTGGGTAGATAGCTGTGAGCAACCAGCCTGGCCCTGCCCGGTCCCTCCTCCCCATCCACCCCAGCCAAGCCCACTCCCTGTGAGGCCAAGCTACCAAGGTGGGACCTATTACCCACCATAAAAGTGGGAATCCTTTCATGGGATGAAGGTAGCCTCTAGCCCACCACCTCTAACCCTGTACCAACTGGCCCCACAGCCCTTACTAGAGATTGATGGTGCTGGTGGTGGACACAGCACTGCCATCCTCTGAGACCACCGACAAGTGGCTGGTGCCCCCATCATCCGGATTGTAGAATTCAGGCTCATAGTACGAAGCCACGTGAGTGGTGTTGTCAGTGATGCGAGCTTGGAGCTGGGCAGCGAAGAACTCAGAGCTCATGTTGCGAATGACCTGCCGAGACCCCAGAGCTGGCCTAAGGAGGTGGAAAGGGAGCGCGGAGAGGGGGCACAGGGTTGTCCGAGCAGGTCCCAAGAATCCCCTGACCATGGGTCTGATCACAATCCTCTTGCATCCTAAAACTTCGGGGGCTTTCCAGGACACAGACGGGAAAGCAGACTCAGCACCTCACACAGTGGCTTGTATGACCCCATCTCTTGGTTGCATTCCAACCATTATGAATGTCTGTTGTCTGCCCCCTCAGGCCTTTAGACTCTCACCTCTCAGTGATTCATTCATGCAATTATTTACAGAGCTTGTGTTGCATGCCCAGAGATGAGAAATTGGAAGGGAACAGGCAGGGTAAGTTCTAGTAATAGGAAGGCAGAGAAAATGAAAGAGAAGAATGAGGCAGTGTGGTTAGGGAGGGCTTCTTTAGAACAGATAGCTGAAAAGAGTCCAGTAGGAGGCCTAAAGGGCAAATACAAAGGCCCTGGGGCAGGATGAACAGGGCGATGTTTCCAGTAGTGACTGAGATGAAGGGAGAGAAAATGTGAAGATGCTGGCTAGTGTTCATTATTTCTGTAAGGGTTTCTTACCTCCTCTAAGGACTGACAAGCATGGGGTAGAGGAGTAAACATGCTGGGGAGCATTTTCTCAGGGTCCCTGGTGGTCGTGTAGGGAGTAAAGAGCAGGCTATGGAGAACCAGGTGACATGCAGATGGCTCATCTCATGCCAGGAGCTGGTGACTCACACCTGTAATTCTACTTAGGAGGCTGTGATCTGAGGGTCAGGATTTGGAGACAGCTGGGGAAGGACAGTCTATGAGACCCTTTTATCTCCAACTAATCACCAAAAAGCTGGAAGTGGAGCTGTAGTTCAAGAGGTAAAGCATCAGCCTTGAGCTAAAAAAAAACCAAAAAACAACTAAAGGATAGCCTTCAGGCTTTAAATTCATGGTGTGTGTGAGTTCATACACACACACACACACACACACACACACACACACAAATGAGATGGCTCATCCAGCTGGAAGAAAAATAATAATAGAGGATGCCCTTGCAACTTTAAGCCCAGAATAGCTGTTCACTGGGTAGTAAACACTGCAGATAAGGGACAGTCAGGAGACTGATCTTGAGCATAGGCCCATTAGACACTTTAGAGCATGGCTCAGGTAGATGGGCTCATGAGCATGATGTGCATGTATGGAATTCACCTATGGGGCTGATAGAAGCAATACATCTAGCCCCAAAGTGGTGGCAAAGGAAGACAGAGAGAAAAGATGGAAAGAGGGATGAAGGGCCCCAGGAGACCTAACAAAGAAAATGCCAGAGGCTTTGTAGATGCCCCATGTATAGACTCAGAAATCCAGGGAAAGCTGAATTTGCTCATAGGAGCACAACACCAGGATATGGGCTATGCTGACAGTTGTCTAGGTTTTGGAACTTAAAAAGCAATAGCTAAAGGACTGGTAATGTGGCTTAGTGGTAGAGTGCTTGCCTAGCATGCATGAAGCCCTGGGTCCAATTCCTCATTACCATATACACAGAAAAAGCTGGAAATGGCGTTGTGACTCAAGTGGTAGAGTGCTAGCCTTGAGCAAAAAGAAGCTCAGGGACAGTGCCCAGGACCTGAGCTCAAGCCCCAGGACTGGCTATATATATCCAACAGGGTCTTTGGTAAGTTAAAAGACCAGAAAAAATGTATGGTTAATCTCAGTTATCAACCTGATTGGGCTGAGAGCTGCCTAAATTAATAAAGCACACTAATCTGGGCATGTCTGTGAGGGCATTTCCAGAGGCTGTTGGATTGTGATGTCATCTAATCCAGGGGTTCGATGCATGCATGGATTCAAAATTTGAATGGACTCTTGGAGTTGGTGGAACTGTGGAAGGCAGAGCCTAGTTGGAGAAAACGGGCCGCAGGGATGGTGCCATTAAAGGACATTTTTGTGCATATGTGACAGTACTGGGGCTTGAATCAAGGCTTGGGTGTTATCTCTTAGCATTTTTGCTCAAGGCTAGTGCTCTACCATTTGAACCACAGCTCCACTTCTCACTTTTTTGCTGGTAAGAGATAAATCTCATGGACTGTCTTGTTTTTTTTTTCTTTTTTTTTTGGGGGGGGCGGGATCTGGTCGTGGGGACT